CCCCCCCCCCCCCCCCCCCCCTATAAATACTTGTTAATAAGTTTATTAGAACTAGCGTACAAAAGGCACTTCATGCCTCCATAAATTATTTTTATAAAAATTATATAATAATGGGTGGTTATTAAAAATATAAGTGGCTATAGAGTGAAATTTACAAAAAAGAATAAAAAATTTGTAATTTGTAAAAGAGTGGTTATAAGGGTAAAATTATCCAAAAATGTAGACCCCAAATGGGACAGCCCCATTAATTAATACTAGTGGGGTCCAGGCACTCTTCAAGATACTCTGTACCTCTATATTTGTTTGTACCTCTATATTTGTTTAAAGGTGTTTAAGAATTACTAATGTTTGTTGAATCAACATGTGTCACACTTAGTCCTCAAACATCAAGGTATTGATTCGAGTCCTAGATTTATAAGAATAATTAATTTTCAATATTATTTTTTATTAATTATAATTTTAAGAGTAAAACAGTGTAAAAATTGTATATAGATATAGATAATATATAATATATAATATAATATATAGATATAGATTAACTCTTAGTATGTGACATAATTTTGTTAAAAACCTTGTATCATTGTTTTTCACATCCTCTTTTGAGTTAAAATACCCTAAATTTTTAGTATGAGTAGTGACCTTTTTTCCCTTTTGTTCCCCATTATCTCAAAACATAATACAAATGCATGCTGATTATTAAAATATTCTACCTGCTCTGCAAAATGTCTCCATAGATGTTGCATAAAAGGTACATGCTTAAGCACAGGAGCAAAATCCAGTGACATTCTGTATAGCAACCTTGTTTTTTGTTTTGAAGATGGTAAGCAGACATGAAGTTGGTGCAGGTGTGTGGTGCACTGACTGGTGCTTTGTCCTTCGAGTTTACCAGGCTTGGAAATTCCAATGGTTGATAGAACCATGCAAGGTGGCCGAAACTCCATATCAATTGGATAGGGGTCCCAGTATCCTTGTAGGCCAGATGCAGGTGTCAAAAATTTCACCAGGCTGCAAGTTGAAATCTATGCAATGAGACTAAGTGAAGAAATGTATGTATTCAGAAGATAAAGGTTAGATTTATGCCTTAAAAAGAAGCTCAACTTATCCATCCATTCATGCACAATTACAATATAAGTGTGAATGTATGACACACTGACTACATTATGTTATTAGAGATCTGAGCCTAGAAAAATATCATGCAAGATCAATTTAACATTTAACAACCTATTGACTACTGTGCATGACAGAATTCCAACTCGCATTTTGTGTCTTCCCTTGTTGGAGAAGAGTTTTTTAGAAACTAAATTCACTAGTGAAAACTGAAAAGTACCCTCTCGTGACACAGACACACACAAAGTTTAATACACTAACAAGTCGTGAACTTTTTGGAAATTTTTAATTAGGTTTCTAAACATATATAAATGTGTGTGTGCGTGCATGTGTGTATGTCTATAAGTAAGTCTTTTATATTTTCAACAGTTTTTATAATTGGATCCTTATAGTTCCTAGGGTAAAATGCAAATGGCTTTCAGTTCTCAGGGTATAAACAAAAACAAACCTGGGAACACTCCATCCCTTAGCAAAAGTTGAAGTGTGAGTGAAGGGGGCATGTGCAAGATCCAGAAGGTTGTCCAAAAGTAACCCATGTTCGATAGGAAGCTCCATGACAATCTGTGGCATATAAAGAGACACCAAGTATATAAACACAGCCTTTTTTACATGAATCATACTCAATCCTTGAATATTCAGTTGCCATATCTAATGGGACAATTTTTTCATAACATACCTCAGCATGGACTTCAAACCCAGATGGAGGTAGCAAAGATGGAAGGGCAGCTGTTGGGGGGTCATTGCCAGGCCAAATCCAGATCATCCCCTCTTTTTCAAAACATGGAAATGACTTTATCTTCACATTTAGCAGTCGAGTAGATGGCATTTTCTCACATTTTCCATCAGTAGTATATTCCCAGCCTAACATCCAACCATTAGTTATTTCAACCTGTAAGTTTTGATGTGTATAACATATAACTCATTGCTAGGATATATTTACATGAATGTGTATATCTTTTGATATCATATATGCATATATGAACCAAAGCATACAACTCATTGCTAGGATATATCATGTATTGAAGCAAAATAATTTCTGAAGCCAGCGTCAAGAGTAACCATTGACTACTAACCATGGTAAGGGCATTGGATACGACCCTCATTTACGGAACCAAGGTGCAGAGGACATGCTCTGTGTGCGCAGGTGTTCTGAACACATCCAGGCTTCCCATCTTTCCCTCTGAAGATGACCCATGGTTCCTCAAAACATTCTATTGGGATCTGAAAAACAAAAGGATTAACATGCTTATGATAATTTACATCCACATTGGAGTAACTTGCATTAAACCACAACTTTTCACTGGCTGTCTCTTATCTGACACAGCACCTCATCACCCCCAAGAAATTGAAGAAAGGGAGAAACTAAAAAATGCTGAATTGTTTTCATTGGTTAACTAGTCCAAATGTGCCACAGAAAAGCATCATAGTAGCCTCATGTAAAACCACTTGGGTACAATGAAATGCTCACTTGAAATCAGGGGGGATAAGGAGGGAAAAATTAATCTCAATCCAAAGATATTCCACATATTTATCTGTTTATCTATTATTTTATGAAAGACAATATTCCACTGTCATAGCATAATAGGCTTCCAATAAATTTGAATAGGTTGAAGCAGAAGACACAAATATACCCAGTGTAAGACAAAGAATAATAGATATCGACTTACCATTGTATCATCCTTCAAGTCAGTAGAAAAAGCCACAGGATACCAGAAATTCTTCAAGTGGGGATGGTATGACTGAACTGGACCTGACACATCCAAGCTTCTTCGTGGCGGTCTTCTCTTTTCTATATCTACAGATTCAACAGATGTACCGGAAGAAGATGATGTATGGGAAACTTCAGTCGTGCTTCTTTCTTGCAACAACTTATCATTTACCAGTTCTTCCATGTAAGCTAGTTTATCTAAAGCAGTGGACACCCTCGCCTCAGATATATGAACCTGTTGTTGTGCAATAAGTAACATGAATAATGACACACATCAGTAACTTGTGAACAGGTTCATAACAAGTTGGATGAATCTCAAACATCTCAGCTACATGTTGTGCTGATTAGCCCTTAACGGATAAGTATCAGTACCTGTCTGTGTGCTTGTGCTAATTCTTCTTGCAACTCTGCTAGCTCCTTTTTCATGGTGCCAATGGACTTATAATCACGAGCCAAAGGATTAAGAACTTCCACCACCTACACCCATAATTTTGGAGGAATAAATTCACCTTGTAGTGGGATGTTTGGCAGAAGTGAAAAGTTGATAATGAAACAACAATATGAATATGGTCCAATTTCATATAGACTAAACAAGACAAGCATGATACAAAAATTCATTGAAGGATCACACATAATTCTAAACATGTAATTAACCAACATAAGTTGAAACCTTTTCATGGAGAAGCATGATGGTAAGCAAGTCTTGGCGAGCTCGCCAATCACAGTATTGAATATCATATCTTGCGACTTCAAGGGCTTGATATACATCCAAAAACTTTCCTTTATACCGTGGCACCTTGGATCTTGGATCCTCCACATCAAAGAGCGCACTCCACGCATTCTTCTTATCATCTATCTCTTCTCCATATACAGCAAACACTCTAAACCGACCTTTCAAAGCCTGAAAAAATTGATAGACACACAACAATGTCATCAACAAAGCTTATGAGTAAAACATAAAACAAGTAAACAGAAGAATGTTGAACCTTTTTGGCGTCAAGCTTGGACGATCTAGAGAAGGAGAAAGGCAGAGAGAGAACTGCAGCAGTCGCTACGGCGTTCATGGCGCTGACAGTCTCTGGAGAGAGAAAGGTGTGGAACGTTGTTATGAGGATTTTTGTTGATAAGAGGTTGGAGTTCCGCGCGATCTCGGTTCTCCTTCCTAGGGGCGCCACGTGGACGAGCGTGGACTTCGTGGTCTCACACGTGGCGCATGTTTCTTCCACACGCTAGTTTTGAACTCTCACAGTGTTTTTGCATCTTTTGGGCCCTGACACCTTGCCAACTCGGATAAGGGAAGAACATCTCTCCTCTATCCTCTTCCAATTCGCTATTTTCTCCATTTTTTAGATTTTTATTTTTTCTTCTTAAAAATAACTAATAATATTTTGTATTAGACATTAGTCTAGAGAAATTGAATTCAACTATTATTTTCACTTTTTTAACACTACTACTTTTACTATTTTATAAAAATAGCTTCAATTTTTATGGTTCAATTCAATTTTTAATTAGTGTTTCTTCAATAAGTTTTTTAGAATATATATATATATATATATATTCTATTGGTTCAACTAAATTTTTAATTAATTAACTTCAAAAAGTGAACATAAGAAATCAGTTATTGAGTATTAAATTTAATTTTAATATATTATCGGTGAAAAAGTATTACATTTTCAATAAAAAATATTTTTATTATTTTTTTAAAATAATTGTCATAAAACTCAATGATTTTTAATAATATAAAAATAGTGGAAAAAACATGTTATCAATCTAGTTTAACTAAATTATTTAGTATTTTAATAATTTCCCATTTGTATAGCGCCTTCAATATCCTTCTCACATGGTATATGAATATGGTCAGATTCATTTTGAACTGGTACGTTATTTGTACTTTTTAAAATTTTGTCATGTATCCGAGTGGAATGTTATGATATGTTAAAGAATAACCCACATGTTATAATTTCTTAATACTTATATATTAGGAAAAGTAGAATTACATTGTAGAGTTTTTTTTTTTTTTTCTCACGGTGACCTCAATATGCTTAATAACTAGTTTGGAACACTTATTATCAATTCTTTGACTTTAAGAAAATAAAATAAATATTTTAGATGAAATTCCAATTCCGATAATAAAAGTATTTAAAACTTCATTTTTCCTTATAAAATCAATAAGATGAGTTGCAATCTATTTAACATAGAAAAACTTTTGTTACTTCTTGTACTTACACGAACTAGGTCGTCTTCCTAACTCGGATAAGTCATCTCTTCTGCTCGGCTTGTTTGAGAGCGTACGAGGTTGATTGACAAGATGGGATTCCTTCTCTTCGGTCTCTCTGTTTGAGCGTCTCGGATGTACTTGCAAAAAGGACTCCGACGATCAAGTTAGCCTAGGTTTTCCAGTTTTGCATATCATTATATTATTACCTGTGTGGAGTCGTCCGAATAACTGTGCAACTGCTATATGGTTATCTTCTGAGGGTGGTTACTTGTCCTTGTTTTCGTTAACTTACCGAGGTATCTTAATGATGCCTTCTATGATATGTCAGCATTCTCTGACGTCATCTTGGCCTGCTTAAGAGGTCACCTCGGGGTGGATTAATTTGTGGGTATAGCCAAGGTTAGCTCTAGTTAGGTTGGTACAATGAACTCGGCTCAGGTCGGCTAGAGTCAGGTTGGTACACTTCTCAATAAAAATTCAAATTCACTTGCATTATGTGAAATTAGATGAGTTGCACTCTGGTCATATAAAACGTGCACCCTATTTTGATTTTCAAAAATTGGACATGTGAGTTGCAATACCATTTGTTTTTATTCAATTATTACATTGTAATGTATAAATAGAGCTTATGTGCTTGGGAGATGCTGGGAATTCAACCGTTATTGTTTAGTATGCCAAGTCAAAAATTTCACAGGCTTTTGATTTTATAAGAAGATATATTCAAAACTGTTAACATATAATTGAAATAAATAAATGTATACTACCAACAATATATTTATTTCTTTATATTGCCTAACTTGCTGGGAAGGTAAGCATGAAAAATGTATTGCAAATAATAAAGTTAATATTTAATGCAAGATTTATAAGGCTGGAATTTTATATATATAAAAGAAAAAAAACAGATATAATTTGTGATTTATTTTTAAAAAAATATTAAATCAAAATTACTTTAAATTTGTCAACTATGTTACACATTTTTTTAAATAAGGTTGGTAAATAATGTTAACCGTCTAACTTTTGAGTCAAATAAATGATTATTTATTTGATGAAAAATAGTTTAAGAACATTGTAAATTGTTTCACTAAAGAGGATTGACATTAAAGAACTCTAATTGTTATTTAAACCTAAAATATTTAATGATTGTAATATTTTCTATCTATGTTTTAGAAGGTCCTATATGTATCAAAGCAGAGTTTGGCCCTCGTCTTGGGGCGGGAATGGAATTCATATCTCCTTTGTCTGCTCAAAGTTGTATCTTGAGCACAAATCATTTATTTTTTGTCATGGTCTCATAAATGAAGTTATATACTTATTACCATTAATAGTATTGTAAATCCCAACATTTATGATTGTTATCAAGCATACTTTCCAAATCACGAAACTTTACTCTATCTAATATTGTGAAGTAGTCAGTCAACCACTTGCTAAGAAGGATCGGTTAGACACTTGCTAAGGTAGGTCAGTTGGTCTAAAGGAGATCAACTTAGAAATATCAACTTAGAAGTTGCTAGCTTTAGGAGGTCAGCTTGAAAGAGCGTTTAGC